ATTTTTTCTTCCTGCAGAAAGCCTATAAATGGACATGTGAGTAGGAGAGATATAGCTGAATTCTTTTCCCAGCAAGGAATATTAATTGATACCCTGGGGAAAGAATGCATTCCTGGGAGAAGGTCTATAAACGGCCACTCTGGGAGTGTCTGTCTTTTGTGATTGAGATAAGGAATGAAATACGCCCTGGTCTCCTGCAGTATCCTCAGGCTTACTAGGATTGGGAAATTCCAGTCTGGTAAATTTTGGTGAGACCGGTTCTCTGCTCTTGAACCCTGTTTCCTGTTAAGGTATTTATCAAGACAATATGTGCACAGTGGGACATAGACCCTCATCAGTAATTCTAATTTTGCCTTTGCCTTGTGATCCTTATTGCCCTTTGAAGCATGTGATCCTTGTAACCTACTCCATGTTTGTACACCCCTTCCCCCTTTAAAATCCCTAATAAAAACTTGCTAGTTTTGTGGCTTGGGGTTGTCATCATGGTCCTACCAATATGTGATGTCACCCCCAGAGGCCCAGCTGTAAAATTCCTCTCTTTGTACTCTTTCTCTTTATTTTTCAGACCAGCCGACACTTAGGGAAAATAAAGAAAGAACCTACGTTGAAATATTGGGGGCTGGTTCCCCCAATAGAAGACAGAGGCACTTCTAACAGCATCCAATCTAGAGCAAACTGAACTTCCCTAGTCTCTGACAAATCACCCAATCAAAGCCCAAATTCTGTAATAGGTTCTTTCTAATAACCTCCTACAGAGATACCTTATGGTGTGTTTTTTTTTCAACACTGCAATGAGTAATAAAGCCATGTGCTCAACTACAGGAATGTTCCTGTATATTTGTGGAAGGAAGGAAGGAAGGTCCTGTGAAAATAATGTTCCTAATGCAACATTCACTAATTAAATACATTGCCACCTACTCAAGGGTTAAGTATTCTGAATCTAATGGGAGCTCTAAGCTGTTTATCTCTACCTTATAAAGTTCATTTCACCAAATTCTTATTGAAATTTAGTTATAATCCAGTCTCTTCCTGGAACTAGCAGTTAACAAATTTATGAAAATATTGAACCCAAAGATGCCTGTCTAGTTATTTAGGGTATAAAGGTACCCTGGCCTTTCCTTTATCTGGTATGAGTCAACGCTGCTCAGAGAACACACATGTCCAAAGCAAATGTCGCTTCACGATGAAACTTGGTAAACAGCCTGAAGCCGCCTTCCCCCTTTCATCTTCCATCAGCTTCAAAGATTAGGTAGATCAAATATACTCCTCCACAATCTATGATCTACAATCCGAACTTAATGCTGTTAATTAGAATCATGGAAACTTGCATGAACACCCAAAATTTATTAATTCGATCACTTTGATCACCTGCCATATGCTATCCTGAAGTTAGGAGGGATATGATGAGGTATAAATCCATTGTTCATTTACTCCAAGAGGTCAGAATATAAATAAGAAGATGCCAGGTTCTATCTCACTATATAATGCAAGAGTTTATATTTTCATTTATGCCTGAAAACTTTAATTTACCTCATCTAGGAAAGAAAGTACATTCTTTTCAAAGCCCTGAAGGGAAAAATATTCTGCTTCTTTTTTTTTTTTTTTTTTTTTTTTTGAGGCGGAGTCTGGCTCTGTCGCCCGGGCTGGAGTGCAGTGGCCGGATCTCAGCTCACTGCAAGCTCCGCCTCCCGGGTTTACGCCATTCTCCTGCCTCAGCCTCCCGAGTAACTGGGACTACAGGCGCCCGCCATCTCGCCCGGCTAGTTTTTTGTATTTTTTTTAGTAGAGACGGGGTTTCACCGTGTTCGCCAGGATGGTCTCGATCTCCTGACCTCGTGATCCACCCGTCTCGGCCTCCCAAAGTGCTGGGATTACAGGCTTGAGCCACCGCGCCCGGCCAATATTCTGCTTCTCGCTTCTCCCTAATCCTGCCCTGGCAAATACCTTAATACAAATGCTGACAGTCTTGCCTATTACCAATTCAAATGGAAAGCAAAGCAAAGCACAGGAAAGGATATATCCCACTAGGGTTGGTGACAATTGCCCCATTCTCAGGAAAAGTCTCTGGAGGTTGTCTCACCATCCTTAAGTGAAAAGCAAGCTGGGTTTATGTCCTCAACACGTTCAGGTTCTCAGCATTTGCTGATTGCTTGATTCATTTCAATGGAATGAGGTTACATCAGTGTCATCTGCATTAAAAGGTGTTTATTACCTACCTCTATTGAGTGCTATGCTGTGTTGCAATGCAGAGCAAACAGGTTTTCTGCAACTTGGAAATCTCTGACAATGACCCAGAATGCTGATGTGGACAGATGGAATAAAGACAGCTGAGCAAATATTAAAGAAGTCCAAGAATTAATAAATAATATTAACATTTTGTACAAGTACATAACCTTAACTGGGAATGCTGGCAGGGAACCTTGAGGAGTGTATGCACAGACTGGATAGGCCATGGAGAATTCACAACCTTTTTTCTAATTAATCTCATGCAATATAGCAGGCTGATAAAATAAATCTGACTTTCCCACGGCATATTCTGAACCACTTGGGAGACTTGGAACTTCTCCAGGAAGTCAGGTCCTGTGAGAATTATCAGAGCATGTCAGTTACTCAATGCTGGCCAAAGGCAAAAGCTCCAGCAGCTCTAAGCCCTTTTCACATTAAGGGTATAAAACTAATTTCCCTCCTTCACCTCAACCAAGCAATCAATAAGAAACAGTATTATACGTAAAACATCCTACAATGTAGAAAGTGCTTTTATACTGTGTCTCCCTTTTGAATCTCACAACAGACAGACAAGATGTATCTATCAACCAACAAATAATTATTTAGTGCTAGTGGTGGCAAGTCCAGCGCTATATACCTATACACAGAATCACATTATCATCTCTGGCCTCAGCACGTTTACAATCTGTTTATAAGGCAAGGTTGTGAGTGTTCAATAGATTCTTAGAGAAATAAAGACTAATGAGGACAGATTTGGTTGGAGAAGTGTGATCCAAGACGAAATGTGAACGAAATTGGGAAGGATGCCAGAGTTATGGCTAAGAGAAAGAAGCAAGGGCAGTTGGAGAAAGGGTAGAGGCACCCTTAGGAAGACATGATTGTGTTAATGTGAAATCTGGAACGTAAAAGTGAAGTAGCTATTTCGTCCATGCAGCACCCAGGACAAGCCTTAAGTATAAGACATACTCAGTAAAGACAAAACTGAAAAAAGAAGTTAGGCCTTAACTAAGCAGTAAACTTTCCCCAATTTTAATCAAACAGATCATCACTGGCTCTTCTGTACAAGGCAGAAGTTTCTTCCCCAGTACTTCCCCAACAGAGTAGAACTGTCAGCACAGTTCCTATTTTGTGAGGAGAATAAGTTCTAATTTTTTTTATTCTGTGAGAAGCGTAGCCATTGAAAATTTTCAATAGGCATATGAAAGTAGTGTTTAAGGAAAATTAATATGGCCATGATATGCAATTCAAGTTAAAGGGAGAATGATGTCAGTGAATATGGCTAGAACTCAGGTGCATCATCCAGGTGAGAGAAAATGAAAGCATTGGGGGAGTCTTCAGTGAGGGAGAGAACACAGGTACATAATAAAATTTAAAAAATAAAAGTTACATAGTGAGTTGATAGAACTTGATTATCAATAAGACAAAAAAGGAAGGAAAATATACTAGATTTTACTCTATGATTTATAATCAGAGGAACTCAGAGGGAACATTGTTAGTGACAGAAATGGTGATGAGAGCCGAGGAGGTTGTAGTTGAAAAGACAAGTTTTTGGAGGAGATAATTCTTTCCTTCAACTCCTCCGATGTGAATGAGAAACAGTGGTTGGTTTTTTACCATCTTCCTGAAAATAAAAGGCTCTATCTCAAAAAAAAAAAAAAGGAAGACAAAGACAAATGCCCAGAAGTGCTAAGACACATGGCCAGCAGAGACTTTTCCAAAGCCCTTCACTTGGCTGGACGAGGTTCTAGGCCTTAGAGCTGACTGTGGGTGGATGATAGGGAAAGCAGAACGACAAGGTTTGATGAAAGAAGGGCCAGGAACACCAAGCCACTGCTCTACTACCCAGTTGGAACATGCCTGGAATTGGTGCTTATTACATAGTGTATTTCTGTGCCTGCGATGCAATCACTGTCACCTTTACCTCCACACACATGAACCTGGTCTTCTGACTTTAGTTAGGAAAGAAGAGAACAATGCAACTCACAAGAAGAGAATGATGAGGACAAGTGTTTAAAATACTTTTTCAGACGCTGTTGGCACATTTTCTAGATGATTATTGTCTGGTGAACCCAGTGAAAACAAATACTGTATTGAGATAATCTGTACTGAGTGGATTTATTTCCTTTTGTTTTGTAGGAGAAAGGAGGACAGGTAGTGAGTTGCACCCTGGTTTCCATACTTCACGGTACTGTTTTATCTAAGTTTTAAAAAACACCTCAAATTCAACTAGCAGTGGCATTTTTCTCAGTGTTCATATCACTATGCCCAACTTAAATTTTTTTAATAAAACAGGAAAAAACGCTAAACACATTACAAGTTCTTAAAATTATTCCTTAATATTTATTTTGGGTCAATTTAAAAAGGCTTGTGAATCCATAGCCTTGAGTTAAAATTTAGTTCAGATGTTAGTTACATTATAACTTTAACAGTGACCCGCACTTGTAAATCTTGCCCCACGATGGACTACATTTCCCAAGAGCATCCCCCGAGTTAATCACATGAAGTGCCTTCTAGGAATTGTAGTCTTGGATGAGCCTCTTTTCTCTCAGTCTTTGATTCACGCCCTGATTCCGGTTGAAACGGTGCTACCAATTAGCAGGGGCCATGTCCGTGAGTCGTGGTCCAACCGGGAAAGCTGGTGTGGGAGCCTGGGACAATGATTGGCCAATGAATGACCCCGGGGCGGAGCAATGGGGGCGGGCGGGGAGACCATGGTGATTGGACCAGACGCCCGCGACGGCGGGCGGGGATTGGCTGCGCCCTGGGTCAGGGAGGCCTGGGAAGGGGCGGAGGAAGGAGACTAGAGCAGGAAGAGCAGCGGCGAAGCGGCGGCGGTGACTCCGTGGTGGCAGAGGCGAAGGCGACATCTCTAGGGGTTGGCACCGGCCCCGAGAGCAGGATGCGGGTCCGGATAGGGCTGACGCTGCTGCTCTGTGCGGTGCTGCTGAGCTCGGCCTCGGCGTCCTCGGGTCAGTATCCGCCCCCTTGGGCTGAAGGCCCAGAGCCTCCGCCCCCCAGCCTCTACCGCCGGCCGGAGCCGTGGGGACCCAGACTCCGGACCCCGTTCTCCTTGGGCACACCTCGCACTGGCCTGTCACTCGCTCTTTGGCTTTGCTTGGCCTGCGCCGAAGGGGCTATTTAGGGAGGTGGAGTGGGGTGGAAAAAGAAGGGGCGGTCACTCTGCCCACACCTCTCTCCCACGTAACAAACTTTACGCGACTCTTTCTCACGAACGCGGAATCGACTCCAAAAGAATGAATCCCGACCCAGGAGCCGGAGTGGTGCTTCCTCGACCCTGGGGTAGAGGAAGGGTCTGGTCTGGAACTCTGGGCTTGGGAATTGAAAGTTAAATAATTGACAAACCTGGAGCTGTCTCTTTAGGGCAGAGGAGGATCCATCCAGACCAGGATGTTGACAGTAGTTTGGTGAGTTTGCCTAACACCTGTGATGGTCCCTGGTCCGTTTGTTTAAAAACAAAGACTTTTGATCTCCTCGTAGCCACTTTCTACTTTTTTGAAACCTTCCTGAGAAAGCGGTGACCTGTCGCAGTGTTTCTGAGTTGCCCCATGTTTGTTTATGATGTTTGGGAAAATCTTGGTTCTTATAAGTTGCGTTTTATATAGATACAGAAATTTGTATGCTTTTGAATTGATTTTCCAGTTAGCTAATTTTTATTCTGGTTCTAGTCCCCCACCCCCCACCTTTTTTTAATGTTTTAATCTGCCTACATTTGAAAATTTCCATTTTGAGAGGGTTCATGAAAAACTTCGTGTTTCTAAGTGTTGATAAAGAAAAATGAGTACAGTAAACTTTGGAATTTTAATCTGTTTCAGTTAACAAGACAGCTGTTCTGTGGCTTTACGTTTTGGGGAGACAACACAGAGTATAAATGTCAACTTTTTTTTTAAATAAATGTCAGCTTTTTTTTAACAGAAAATTTCCCAGGTGGTTATTTGAATCCCCAAATTACCTGTCCTAGTTGTAAATCAGTGCCATAACGTCATTCTGCTTTTAAAATAAGAGGCCTAAACCTAAATTCTATCCATGATGTGGTTTGAAATTCCATTTCAAAAGCACCAACCCTGTGCTAATTACTTTACTGCCAACGTCATTCTTTGAGGTCCACTCGCCTCCCTCCAGTAGTAGTGGTGGTTTGAGTTTAATGACCAGATCTTTAGACTCTACATAACTCTGGAAGCACTTTTAGCAGTTATTTAATATTTGATCAAAAAGCATGAAATGAAGTTGTTGAGCTTAATGAGTAGAGTACCTGCTGGACCATGGACCTTCTGCATCAGAATTCCTCTTATGGGGTTGTTAAACATGTGGTTTTAGGTCTGGAACAGCTCAGGTATACATAGATTAACAATCTCCATGAGGGATTCTTCACACTAAAGAGAACTACAGTAATGAAAGAGCACGGTGTGTATCCCTCTGAATTTAATTGGCAGAGTTTAAAGAAAATTAAAGCATAGAAATTTTTCTGTCTGTCTTTGACTACATTTCATATACTTACAGCTCCATGCTAGTGGAAAAGATATTTGAAGATCAACAGTTGGGGCTTTCAGGATATTATAATAAAAGACTCAACACTGATAAATTAAGTCCTTGGGTTGTATTGACGTAGATAGAGGACTGTATTCAAGAAATGTCTGCTCTGATTTCCATGGTAGTTAAAGCTGTACCAAAACATTTCCATGGTAAAGGCAAAAGCCTTAGCTGGAACTAAAACAATGTAGATGTGGGTGCTAAAAGGTAATAAAGGCAGTACTGTGCTCACATGAAGTTCATATATCATAAAACACCTGTGCGGGCCAGGCTCATGCCTGTAATCCCAGCACTTTGGGTGGCTGAAGTGGGAGGATCACTTGAGCCCAGGAGTTCAAGACCAACCTGGGCAACATGGCGAAACCCCATCTCTACCTAACTCCAGATGTGGTGGTGCACACATGTAGTTCCAACTACTTGGGAGGCTGAGGTGGGAGGATGAAGTGAGCCCCAGGAGGTTGAGGCTGCACTGAGCTGTGATTATGCCACTGCACTCCAGCGTGGACAACAGAGTGAGACCCTGTGTCAAAAAAAAAAAAAAAAAACTGTGTAAAATAAAGTTGTATAAATTAGGCAGTGGATTTTCAGTTGTCATTTTCATTCACAGGATTTTGGCCTCAAAGTTTAAAGTTTTACTCCAGTATGAAAATCAAGTTTTTGGTGATAATTTTGTGTGTGAATGTTAGTGGTTACCCAGGGCAGGTCGCATTTATCCAGGTCGAGTATGGTCAGCCAACAGAGATAATCTTGATTCTGTTGCTGTTGGTAGCTGTTATCTAATATCATGTTTTAGAGTCATGTAAAAATATGATATAGTCATATGCTACATAATGACCTTTTGGTCAGCAATGAACCCCATGTAAGATAGTGGCCCTGTAAGAATATAATGGAGCTGAAAAATTCCTGTCACCTGGTGATTTGTAGCCATTGTAACATGGTAGCACACTTTAAAAAAAAATAAATTTAGTGTAGTTTAAGTGTACAGTGTTTACAGTAGTGTATAGTAACATCCTAGGCTTCACATTCACTCACCACTCACTCACCCACAGCAGCTCTTAATCCTTCAACTTCCATTTATGGTAAGTGCCCTAGACAGGTACACGTTTTTTAATCTTTTACACCATATTTTTACTGTAGCTTTTCTATGTTTAGCTATGTTTATGTGCACAAATACTTTTATGTTACAGTTGCCTACAGTAGTCTGTATAGTCACATGCTGTACAGATTTGTAGCTTAGGAACAATAGGCTACACTATATAGCCCAGGTATGTAGAAGGCTATCCCATTTAGGTTTATTTAAGTATACAAAAAGGAAATCACCCAGTGATACACTTTTCAGAAGATATCCTCGTCATTAACACATGGCTAATATTAGAAACATTTTCTCTTTTCTGTTAATAAATTTAAAGGAGGACACTAAAAGGATATTTCTTCATTTTCTCAGGATAATAGTGAAAACGTTATAGTTTTTCTCACAAATGCATGTTTCTTATTTTTGGCAGGAAGAGGCAAATGGCTTAACCTTTATTTTTCTTTTTAGTCATTTTAGTGAGGTCCACTGCCAGGTATTTCAGGTAATAATTATAAATTCAGAGAGTAGTTTTCAGAGAGCAGAGGATGTTTAATTTCACTGGTTTAGTTGTTCCTTAAAACATTGTGAGTCAGCGGGACAGAGGTGTTACCCCTTTTGACAGGTTGAGAAACAGAGGCCGAGCAAGCTTTTGTTACTGAACCATGTGTGTCAGAATTAACATTTGATGAAGCCAGGTTCCAGAACTAGCTCTCCAGGCCTCAGAATTGAAGAAATTTAGAATCGAGAATGTCTTAGGATCTGTACCGATTCAGATCTAACGCAGAGAACAGGGATCTGGTCTGTTTTCACCAAACTCTTTAGACTTTCTATGTTTAAAGGTTGTCAGTCTGTTTAATTTACATGATGAGTGGAAAAATGATTTTGTAGTGGTTACTTTTCCCTGAAAGCATCTCTCTGGTACTTTGCAGTTTTGTTAGCTAATACAATAAAAATAAAAACTGGTCTTTTTCAAAGGAAGGTGTACAGTTAAATAAAGTAGTATGAACCATTTGGATGAGCGAGAAATGCATAACTTAATCCTTTTGCATTTTTTCTTGTTGCTTGATATCTGTGTTCTGATGAAAACATTACTATTTGCTTTTTATTTATGCATAACTTCAGTCTCTTTAATCCTTACCTGAATACTACATATCAGAAGTTCCTGGGTTATAAACAACTCTTTAAAAAGTGTTGTGTGAATGTTTGTATCAGTTTGAAAAAGAAAATAGCTTATGCTTTGAGACTACCATCTGGAGTAGGCTTTCCCAGTTTAGTAACTGAGAATTATCTTATTTACCGGTAATATTAGTATATAGTCCAGATTGGGAAGAGAGAGGGAGAGAAAGAGAAGCATGATGCAATTCACATGAAATAACCCTGATGTCACAAATCATGTTTCTTGGAGTTGGAAAACACATTTTGCTACTCTAATGCCTAACAGCTTGTGCTGTGTGAAATGTACATGTCTTCAAGTGTATTTACCGGTATGTCTATATGATTCATCTGTTAGTTACCTATGTAGCCTGTTGTGGTGAGGTACTAAATGTAGCAATTTAGTGAGAGTGATTTAGAGTTCCAGCTAAAGTTTCATTCAGCATTTGGGGATATTTAATATACGTTTAAACATTTAATGTCTGTTCTTGATATATTAACTAGTTGAAGTTTGTGATTAATTACATGTACTTACAGTACAACTTTGTTATAGAGATGGGTTTTTTTCTTTAAAGATTTGCTGAGAATGGAATTTGAACCACATGTTAGAAATGGGACTTTGGGTAATGCTTGTGAAGAAGTTAACATGAAGGACAATTGTTAATTAACTGACATCATTTCGTAATGTTATGGGCACTATGAGACTAATATGTGGCATAACCTTCTGTTCATCTGCCAGAAGTAAAACATACTTTGAAGGTAATCTAAATGTAGGTGAATATGAATAGTAGCTGTAATTTAAATTTTCGTCAACTTCACAGCACTTTCATATATGGCAAAACCTCACTAGTGGGCTAGTTTTCTCAAATACTCAAATATTGTGAGATAGTGTCTTGTATTTTGTGCATAATTGAGTTTATTATACTTCTTAGTCTTAGTACTTTGACAAACTCTTACACATGTTTTTTGTTGTATTTTAGAGTTACAAATTACAAATAATATTTAAGATAAAGCCATATGAAGTAAAGTATAAATGAAACTCTAATAGCAAATTTTCTAGTAAAAATCACATGGCCTTACAAGATTTTGTCTACTGGTTAATTTCTCATACAGCTTATATAGAGTGGGTAAAACTAAAACTCACTCCTGAATAAAATTAGGTAATTTTAAGAGCAAGAGGGCAACTTAAAGATGATCTGACAGATTTGCTGTTTTAAACTGGCAAGGAATACAAAAATCACGCATTTGCGTCTGAACATTAAGTTGTTGCATGTGTTTATGTAAGAGCAGGAAGAAGGGTAACAAGTAGCCAGAAAAGTAATAGTCAGAAAACATGTAAAGAGTAACAGAAGGAACATTAATATAATCAGACAACACCAAAAGCAAGCTGTGTGAAAGTTGTGACCGGTGACTGTTTTTAATTGTTTAATGCAAGTTATTGATTTCTTAATACATAGCTCTCAATTGAGTGAACATATGACAGGACCATGCTGCTTTTTACCTGCATCTGGTTATCTCTGAGTAGAGTAGAACACAAATCCTAAATATATTTGTTTTGCCACTCTGCTATCAAATAATAATTCTTAGTTTCCATCCTTACTCTAGTAGTAAACAATAAAAATACTAATTAGCACTAAAATGGGCTACTCTGACTCAAGATCCTGAGCAGAGAAACAGAATAGGTGGAAACCTGGAGTATGAAATTAGAGATTTATTTTTATGAACTTAGTAACTCATTCTCAGAAATAGGCTAAATAGACCCACAAGAATTGGATGGCATGTGAAGAAATACCTGTTTTTGTTGGTGGAGGCTGTTGGTCTTCCTACCTTTGTAACAGATGAAGCTAATGTCTTCCCCTGGAGAAAGAGAGAAACTAAACCCCCAACCCATTTTTTTTTTCACTTTCATTTGATCTTTTCTGAACAATTGCTGAATATAGCTAATTTTAAAATAATTCTAGGTTTATTTATCCAATGTTTGATCATTATATGCTATACTTTTCAAATGTTTTCTTTTAATAATAACTATAATTTCTCAACAAGAAAGATTACTAAATTGTCTTAAAATTTCTTTGCAGATGAAGAAGGCAGCCAGGATGAATCCTTAGATTCCAAGGTATGTACTAAAATGTGTATTGACCAGTATTTGCTGCCTGATTTAAAAGCATGAATTACGTGTCTTAGAAAGGATATGAAATCTGCAACTTTTGAGTAACAATTGAATTTAAAAGGACAGAAAAAGACAGATGGTATTAGTATTAGGTCTAGTTTTTCTGGAGGGAGAAAATACCTACAAGAGGGGATAGTAAATATTTCATTTCAACTTGAATGTGCTCTGTGTGTGTGTGTGTGTCTAAGTTTGAAAATTTAACCGGTGTCATTTTTTCCACTTTCCAGTTTTCAAAAATAAATCCAGTGAGCTAATGCACTTATTGGTTGATTGAGCTCTCCCATCCAAGTACTAACCAAGCCCAACCCTGCAATCAGTTATGAGCTCTGATCTTTAGATTTGAGGGAATGTAGATAACAGCAGGAAGTAGAAGTATACAGTATGCTGGGGGCATGTGGAGGAAAACCTAACCCAGACTTTGGGAATTAAGGAAGGCTTCCGGGGGAAATAACATCTAAGTTGAAATTCAGAAAGACTACAAGTTAGGTGATGAAGGAAGGCACGTGATGGACACATGCCGAAGCCTGTAGAGATAAGTGAGTGTGGCACTTCAGGGAGCTGAAGGAGATGTGATATCTGGATAAGTGAAAATAACGGTCAAATAGGGTTGGGGGAAGTCTTGGCATTGTTGATAACTAAAAATACTTTATATTCTCAGACTACTTTGACATCAGATGAGTCAGTAAAGGACCATACTACTGCAGGCAGAGTAGTTGCTGGTCAAATATTTCTTGATTCAGAAGAATCCGAATTAGAATCCTCTATTCAAGAAGAGGAAGACAGCCTCAAGAGCCAAGAGGGGGAAAGTGTCACAGAAGATCTCAGCTTTCTAGAGTCTCCAAATCCAGAAAACAAGGACAATGAAGAGCCAAAGAAAGTACGGAAACCAGGTAGTCTGGACACTTTCCTTGCTTTTTGATTTATTTAGGAGACAACTGAAAATTTTAAGCTAATGAATAAAGAGGCTGAAGAAAACTGGCTTCAGTGATTATTACCCACAAATAATATATGGAGTGTAGTTTGGTGAGAATTTCTAGATTTTAATATACCAAATTATTCACTTAACTGATTTGTCCCAAGTTACATAAGCTGAATTCAATAGATGAGATTGCATTTTTTTTTTTATTAATATCCTAATATTTCTTTTTGGACTCCAGTACGTAAATACATTTCTCACTGAGAAATTTTGGAAAATAATCTGTCAGGGTAGCATACAAAACAGAAACTCAGGAAGAATTGTCGAACATGCCACTATGGTTGTTTTCAGGATTGTGGTAGGATTATTATTACAGTAACGTTGTGGATCATCCTAGGTAATTTGATTTAGGTGTTTATCCCTCAGTTGAAGCTTATGTGTACTTCCGTCCTTTTCTAACTTTCACCATCTTGAAACCTCTACTTTTCAGTTTAAAACTTGATCTTTTCCACAATAGTCTTCTAAATATTAATCCTTTTAAAAATTATTAATGTATCCATTCTACCATGTCTTGCTACCCTTCTGTCATTTATTATTTCAACGATCACTGCCTTATCTGTTTATTATTCCATTACTAACCACTCTCAGGAACTAATCCAAATTTGAACTTCTTAAAAAAATAGGAGTTTGTTTGTTTGTTTGTTTTAGATTTGGCAACTTTAATTACTCATTTTACCCAAAAGTACACTTTAACTGGCACTTACCAATACTCAGTGAAGTGTTGTCCAATTTTCCTGTTAATTCCCTGGATTTTGTAACAATTCTCATAAACAGATGAAATTTTATAAACTCTCACTATAAAGAATGAATAATATAAATTGTCTGTTCTTGGCCAAGGATATGCTTGTGTGTGTGTGTGTGTGTGTGTGTGAGAGATACGTGGGAACTATTCACATTTTCCCACTGAATTGAGAATTGATCACAAAATTTTAAAAATGGCAAAAATTGGTGAAGAAATAACTTCCTTTAGCTTAAGCAGTCACCCTGCTCCTCTGTTTCTTGCTTATGTTAGCTGTTGGAAAATAGTTAACACAGTCCTAGGCATCTGACCTGGTCACTTAAGGAGGCAGTGTCAGTTAATATGCAAGTAAAACAGCATAGAAACAAGCAACAGCAGCCACTCTAACATTCTAAGTGATCTTTCTATGTAATTACAATTTGTTTCATCATAGTCATTTCACATGACAAATAGTGAAGCTAGGATTGGAGAGCTTTGCACAGTGGGACTGTGTCAAGATTATAAAAGAGTAACCTGCCACTAAGTTATCAAATTGAAGGGAAAGATGTAATTTCAAAGACCTGTAATAATAAATATTTGTCAAGTGCCTATGTGCCAGACACTGTCAGATGAACTCTTAATTCTCCCAATAGCCTTATAAAGTAGGCATTTATAGTTGCCATTTTATAGACGAGAAAACTAAGGGACAGAGAGGGAAATTCCATGTCTGAGTCCCACAGTTCATAAGTGGCAGAGCTGGGACATAGCCCACTTGGCCTGATTCTTTTTTTTTTTTTTTTAATTGTACTTTAAGGTCTAGGGTACATTGTACAACGTGCAGGTTTGTTACATATGTATACATGTGCCATGTTGGTGTGCTGCACCCATTAACTCGTCATGTACGTTAAGTATATCTCCTAATGCTATCCATCCCCCTCCCCCCACCCCACGAGAGGCCCCAGTGTGTGATGTTCCACTTCCTGTGTCCAAGTGTTCTCATTGTTCAGTTCCCACCTATGAGTGAGAACATGCGGTGTTTGGTTTTCTGTCCTTGTAACAGTTTGCTCAGAATGATGGTTTCCAGCTGCATCCATGTCCCTACAAAGGACACGAACTCATCCTTTTTTGTGGCTGCATAGTATTCCGTGGTGTATATGTGCCACATTTTCTTAGTCCAGTTTACCTATGATGGACATTTGGGTTGGTTCCAAGTCTTTGCTGTTGTGAATAGTGCCACAATAAACATACGTGTGCATGTGTCTTTATAGCAGCATGATTTATAATCCTTTGGGTGTATACCCAGTAATGGGATGGCTGGGTCAAATGGTATTTCTAATTCTAGATCGTTGAGGAATCGCCACACTGTTTTCCACAATGGTTGAACTAGTTTACAATCCCACCAACAGTGTAAAAGCATTCCTGTTTCTCCACATCCTCTCCAGCACCTGTTGTTTCCTGACTTTCTAATGATTGCCATTCCAACTGGTGTGAGGTGGTATCTCATTGTGGTTTTGATTTGCATTTCTCTGATGGCCAGTGATGATGAGCATTTTTTTCATGGGTCTGTTGGCTGCATAAATGTCTTCTTTTGAGAAGTGTCTGTTCATATCCTTCGCCCACTTTTTGTTGCGGTTGTTTGATTTTTTTCTTGTAAATTTGTTTAAGTTCTTTATAGATTCTGGATATTAGCCCTTTGCCAGATGGGTAGATTGCAAAAATTTTCTCCCATTCTGTAGGTTGCCTGTTCACTCCAATAGTAGTTTCTTTTGCTATGCCGAAGCTCTTGAGTTTAATTAGATCCCATTAGTCAATTGTGGCTTTTGTTGCCGTTGCTTTTGGTGTTTTAGACATGAAGTCCTTGCCCATGCCTATGTCCTGAGTGGTATTGCCTAGGTTTTCTTCTAGGGTTTTTATGGTTTTAGGTCTAACATTTAAGTCTTTAATCCGTCTTGAATTAATTTTTGTATAAGGTGTAAGGAAGGGATCCAGTTTTGGCTTTCTACATATGCCTAGCCATTTTCCCAGCACCATTTATTAAATAGGGAATCCTTTCCCATTTCTTGTTTTTGTCAGGTTTGTCAAAGATCAGATGGTTATAGATGTGTGATATTATTTCTAGGGATCTGTTATGTTCCATTGGTCTATATCTCTGTTTTGGTAGCAGTACCATGCTGTTTTGGTTACTGTAGCCTTGTATTGTAGTTTGAAGTCAGGTAGTGTGATGCTCCCCGCTTTGTTCTTTTGGCTTAGGATTGTCTCAGCAATGCGGGCTCTTTTTTGGTTCCATATGAACTTTAAAGTAGTTTTTTCCAATTCTGTGAAGAAAGTCATTGGTAGCTTAATGGGGATGGCATTGAATCTATAAATTACCTTGGGCAGTATGGCCATTTTCACAATATTGACTCTTCCTGTCCATGAGCGTAGAATGTTCTTCCATTTGTTTGTGTCCTCTTTTATTTCATTGAGGGTTTGTAGTTTTCCTTGAAGAGGTCCTTCACATCCTTTGTAAGTTGGATTCCTAGGTGTTTTATTCTCTTTGAAGCAATTGTGAATGGGAGTGCACTCATGATTTGACTCTCTGTTTGTCTGTTATTGGTGTATAGAAATGCTTGTGATTTTTGCACATTGATTTTTTATCCTGAGACTTTGCTGAAGTTGCTTATCAGTTTAAGGAGATTTTGGGCTGAGACAATGGGGTTTTCTAAATATTCAATCATGTTATCTGCAAACAGGAACAATTTGACTTCCTCTTTTCCTGATTGAATACCCTTTATTTCTTTCTGCTGCCTGATTGCCCTGGCCAGAACTTCCAACACTATGTTGAATAGGAGTGGTGAGAGAGGGCATCCCTGTCTTGTGCCAGTTTTCAAGGGAATGCTTCCAGTTTTTGCCCATTCAGTATGATATTGGCTGTGGGTTTGTCATAAATCACTGTTATTATTTTGAGATACGTTCCATCAGTACCTAATTTATTGAGAGTTTTTAGCATGAAGGTTGTTGAAATTTGTCAAAGGCCTTTTCTGCATCTATTGAGATAATCATGTGGTTTTTGTCTTTGGTTCTGTTTATATGATGGATTACGTTGATTGATTTGCATATGTTGAACCAGCATTGCATCCCAGGGATGAAGCCCACTTGATCATGGTGAATAAGCTTTTCGATGTGCTCCTGGATTCGGTTGGCCAGTATTTTATTAAGGATTTTTGCATCGATGTTCATTACGGATATTGGTCTAAAATTCTTTTTTTGTTGTGTCTCTGCCAGGCTTTGGTATCAGGATGATGCTGGCCTCAAAATGAGTTAGGGAGGATTCCCTCTTTTTCTATTGATTGGAGTGGTTTCAGAAGGAATGGTACCAGCTCCTCTTTGTACCTCTGGTAGAATTCGGCTTTGAATCCATCTGGTCCTGGGCTTTTTTAGGTTGGTAGGCTATTATTGCCTCAATTTCAGAGCCTGTTATTGGTCTATTCAGGGACTCAACTTCTTCCTGTTTTAGTCTTGGGAGGGTGTATGTGTCCAGGAATTTATCCATTTCTTCTAGGTTTTCTAGTTTATTTGCATAGAGATGTTTATAGTATTCTCTGATGGTTGTTTGTATTTCCGTGATGTCAGTGGTGATATCCCCTTTATCATTTTTTATTGCATCTATTTGATTCTTCTCTCTTTTCTTCTTTATTAGTCTTGCTAGTGGTCTATCAATATTGTTGATCTTTTCAAAAAAACAGCTCTTGCTTGGATTCATTGATTTTTTTTGAAGGGTTTTTTGTGTCTCTCTCTCCTTCAGTTCTGCTCTGATCTTAGTTATTTCTTGCCTTCTGCTAGCTTTTGAATTTGTTTGCTCTTGCTTCTCTAGTTCTTTTAATTGTGATGTTAGGGTGTCAATTTTAGATCTTTCCTGCTTTCTCTTGTGGGCATTTAGTGCTATAAATTTCCCTCTACACACTGCTTTAAATGTGTCCCAGAGATTCTTCTGTGTTGTGTCTTTGTTCTCATTGGTTTCAAAGAACATCTTTATTTCTGCCTTCATTTCGTTATGTACCCAGTAGTCATTCAGGAGCAGGTTGTTCAGTTTCTATGCAGTTGAGCGGTTTTGAGTGAGTTTCTTAATCCTGAGTTCTAGTTTGATTGCACTGTGGTCTGAGAGACAGTTTGTTATAATTTCTGTTCTTTTACATTTGCTGAGGAGTGCTTTACTT